ATCCTTTAAAAAAAAAAAGTGTGTGTGTCCGCTCCGACGCACGACTGGAGTTTACTGGATATAAAAAATTAAACGAAACAATACGAGAAATAGTTCTATATTACGACAACACGATACACTACAGATTATTAACAAATTAACGAGACACAAAACAAACGACTAACAAATATATGAAAATACAATAATGAGAGAAACGCGCGATCAGTACGAGGCTTTGTGGCGGACTGCCGGCGCATGTACTAGCATGTCACACGAAATGCGCATAACGCATTTCGTGTGACATGCTAGTACGATTTTGGTCCCCATAATTTTCATACCCCGGGCCTATATATGTAAATCGATTCTAAAGGAGTAAACTCCAAAAATACTGAGACTAACTTTGACCGAGATCGTAGCCCGAGCCAGTTGTATAGTTGTCAGAGTCAACAACGTGGCTATTAGGCGTTGGTGTCGTTAAATTAATGGTTCACATGAAATATCTTATGCAACCAAATTGGTTCATAATTGATATTTTTATTTAAGACTTTATTGAAAACTATTGCATTCTTTTGGCTTTTTACGGTAGGTAGAGCGACTAGAAAACTTGTATTGAGCATCAAATATATTTGCACAACAAAAACAAATAAAACATTGAAAACATATTAGGTAATTGTGCCATGGGTAGTTTTACCGTTGGCTATTTGCTCCAGGTAAACTTAGAGAAAATACAAGAATTATAAAAAAACATAGATAGATTATAATTTGTGTTTTATTTGTTTAGAAATAATGTATGAGTCAATATGAGGAGATAGTTACCATCGAGAAATCCGTTTTATCTCGTTTACACCAAATTTCCTCATATTTCTTAAAAATAAAAAAAAATAAAGAGACATTTACCTAAGAAACCTCGTTTATTTAATGTATGTATATTAAATGAATATGAATCAAAATGTTTAATTGTAAAAAATAAAAATAGAAAATATGATGTTCTGCACCTGCTAATAGTATGAACATATTATATATTTGTAGGCAGCGGCTTGGCTCTGCCCCTGGCATAGCTGACGTCCATGAACGATGGTAACATCAGGTGGACCGTGTGCTCGTATGCTTACGAGGACCATAAAATAAAAGTACATAATAGTGAGCGAACATCTGATTCTCATCTGAAGTCTTAATTCCTCATATTGACCTATGCGACTATGCCGGTTTTCAAATCCCGCGGGTATAATATATTTTTTCTAATAAAATACATACTTAATTCATATTAGCGAATGAATATTACGGTTAATGAATTATATCGTGTAAGAATAATTATAATCAATTCCGCAAGAATAATACGAATAATTCTTACTGATAGAGCGTATGTAAGTACGCCTAGCTCTGTAACCACTTAATACCAAGTGAGCCGTGAGCTCGTGAACAGGAATAAGGAGGGTCTCATCGCGTATTATTATTCCTAATAGCTACTAATTACATAATTGACTTGTTTATTGAACCAAAAATACTAAACTTAAAAATGCGATCTTTAACTATTCAATGTAACAATACTTATATTTTTGTTGCGGTACAAAGATCATTTCTTGTCATTAAACGTCCCGTTTACGGTCAAAAGTTATCTGAAATGTTTAAAAAAATATTTTGTTTCATTTACTGACTTAAATGTGCACATATCAACTGTTTATACAGGTAAATCACATGACGTAGGCATGTGCAACAATTTTAATATTGTGCCTTGAGTTTTAGCATTGCCTAAAACGATAACATTGATAACGCTTATCTGTTGCAACTTTATCGAGTGCAAGCAAAAACCAATTGTAAATTTAAATTTATTTGCAATAAGAACGATGTCATAATATCACCATGCAGAATAATCCGCGTATACATGTTATAATCTACGTGAATTAGACCTAATAAGCTAAAAATTAAAATTGTGCGCGCAGGACCTACCTAAATAAAAATTGATAGAGTGAAGCAGCAGACATAATAGGCACATAAAATTTGTACGGTCCTAAATTATAAATAGAATGTTCCGCGTCCGCGGCCTTTAGAACGGGCGTGTGATGCGAGAGCTAGAGTGGGGAGACACAGACGGCTCGATGACATCACTGTTGAGTTGCAGTGCGGTGCGACCGCCAACTCTTGCGCAATCGCACGCGCCCTTGATCTTGACTGCGCTGCGGCCGCAACGCACGCGTGTTCGCACCTACGTCTACGTATAAATACTAGGTAGGTACTACCGCAACTATATTTATCAATGCGCATGTAGGCGCGAAACTGTAATTGTACTAGTAAAACAACGTGATTGCGCTGCTATGTACTTCTAAGAGAATCGGATAGTTCCGGCTCTCCGCTGTACCATAGGTAAATGCTGCAATTAATATTTTAAATGCACCGAACATATAATAAATAGTATTGAGTTAAAAAAAAACATTTAACCGTAACTATTTGCGAATCCGAATTTTTAATATTATGTTAAATCATTAATGAATCCCAACTTTAACTGGTAAATTCTTGAGTAATCGAAATTAACTTATCCCCTATTACTTTCACATAGTGAAGACTATTTAATCTGATCATTCGTAGCCTTGGAAATAGACTTCGATGTTCAACGTGGCCAAATACTTTTTTTAGATTACGTCTAAGACGCCATCAACTGCCGATAAATGAGATCCTCATGCTAGCACACGATTATCTTACTTGGCTTTTGAAAAGTAGATAACATCCATACTATTAATTTCGTTAAGCTTGTAGAAAATTATCTTACTTACTTACTCGCAACAGCACAAGTATCTATCTATTGGTAAAAGTTAGAAGCGATCGAATCAATTAACATGCGTTAAGATAATTTAATCCATAATGATTAATTTAATCCCACGACAGGTGTTTTATCTGGGTTGCTTTTCATCTCGTAACCATGTTACATTTGGACTCGCTTAGATCTATTTCATTAATATTAATTCGTTATACATATGGCATGAAATCACAGTAACGTCTGACACGACCAAACTGTATTTAAGGCAACCATTATCCATCACAATATACTCAGCAACTACAAAATAAGTGCTCAAGAGGAGGAACATTACATCTGGTTAAGCCTGACCTAATGAATATAGCAATAATAATGTATGAAGAACCACATCACGTCAATTCCATATTACAGAAAAGAAATAGAAGTGCTTTCAATATTCAAGAAATGACCCAAAAAAGACAATGACCTACAATTAGTTCAAGCTTCAAGCCTTAAGTCAACTCACTCACATATTATTATGGAATGAATTGAAATGTTGTCAATACTAAAATGTTAAAATATGTTAATAAATAAGATGATAATAGAAGTGAAATAAAATGCTCTAAATTAATTCGTATCACATAAAAAGTTACATTCTAGATGGATATATTTTGTCCAGGATACCTGTACTTTAACATAATCTGTGGATAAAATAAAATTGATAATTTAATCCAAAAGGTTCAAATCAAGCAAAACAAAGAAATATAATAATAGTATATCGAAGAATTAAATTAAAGTTCTGAAATATAAGCAATCAAAGCTTTTGATGAAAAGATTCAGAGGGAACGAATAACTGGACATAACGGGACAACTCTTAGTTTTAAAATGACCAAGATTTTTTATAAATACTATATTGGGCGGAACACAAGTTCATTCTTGTAATGAACTTAATCTATGGAATAACCGACACACCTAATCTCTTAACCCAGATTTAAAAAAAATCAGCCCCTAAGTACCCTACCATGAACGATGAAATATAAACCGTTTATAAGAAAGCCCGCTCATTCGAATTTAGGTGCGTACTCTCCCTTAAACAGAATCTTTTGGGACTACAATAATGACCACGGTAGCGCGGTCTCCGTCAATGTTCGTTCGGAGTTGTCCGATTGCGCTGAACTAATTTTAAGTGAACTTGATGTTTTTTCTAACTGTCTCACAACTTCAGGAAAATCTGTTGCGGATCATTTCCCAATTAAATATAAATTAATCTTAAGAAATCAATCAAATGTAATCAAATCTTAATTATATAATCTTTTTATTTTTGTTGTTAATGCATTGTCGATTGCACCTATAATTGAGGTGACATCTGCCATGAACTTTTGTCAGTTTGTCAATGTTTTGTATTGGTGATCACTTTGTTGGTGCAACTTAATATATAAATAAATAAATAAAATAAAACTTGTGTTCAGACGTCATCTGAGCCCAAAATATATCTTTATCATCATTACTTTCTGATCCAGAATTGTTAGTTTAACCTTTGATTACATAAATTGACTATGGCGATGTTGTTGCTACCGTTCTAAAAGTTGTTTATAACAAATTATGAATAAATTCAGAATTTTAAATTCATTTAAAATGTATGTTGTAATACTATAGACAGCTTAATAACGGGGGAAATAAGTGGAAATTATCTGGCTTAAAATGTATATGTGTTTGTATTGTAGGATATACCTTCGACTATATCAATTTATTAAAGTACGATAGGTAACCCAGGTAGCCCAGGAGCGCCATGCAACTATTTCGGTATTGAAATCCCGCAAGCAGCTACCAGTTTTTTCTGACTGACTTTCATAGCAATAATATCGTATGGTAAAAATTAAACCCACAAAATATTTAATTAGCGGAATTACTGGTAGTATGACGTAAGATGATCGCACTGGTAAGTACCACCACTTCAACCACTCATACCATACAGCAACGTTATATTTTCTACTAAGACTTCAATTTCATGTCCTAAGGAGGGTGGCATTTATGTTTGAGATCTATGGTTTCCGGTAATCATAAAGTAGGTCGTGTACTCATTAATCTCTCCATTTTATGTTTTCGTGATAGTCATACAAAGCATAATCGGATTTCATTGGTTTTTAATCATCCTCAATGACTTTGTTGGTGATATACACATTTCTAGACCCGTCAGCCTATCTAAAGCTTCAATAACCGCTCTATTAATAGAATATGATATTAATACAGGTCTACAGAACTATATTTATGCCTATTTGTTACTGATTCACAGCGGCGGGAGCTAGCTCAGACATGGGAAGTGAGCACTATTGCCTAAGGTGGAACAATCATCAGAGCAACCTGCTGGGAGTATTCAGCCAGTTGCTGCACGACGAAAGTTTGGTAGACGTCACACTTGCTTGTGCCGAAGGTGCATCCATCAGAGCGCACAAGGTAATTTATTTCAAGTCATTTATTAAGTAACCTTATATTTAAAAAAAGGAAAAGGTGCTTTTGTTCGGTGAATATGCCTACTATTCCATATTGCATAAAACGAATTCCAAAACGTACAAGAGCACGAGTATCAAGAGATTCTCTGTTAACATTCACATATGAACCCATGTAACAACTTTACAGAGGTAGATAATTAATTCCAATATGCGTTTCGCTATGTCTGCAAGGTTTTTATAAAAACTGAATTTTAAGTACCCAATGTAACATTGTTTCTCAGAAAACAAATTTCCTTGAGCACCACTGAGGGATGTAAATTTTATTTACATTAATATTTATGATCTGTAATTTCATCAACTGATTACTAATATTTTTTATAAGAGAAATTATAATTTTGTTACTTTGTTAACAAGTTCTACCCTCCATGCTTATTAAGTTTATTCATCAGAAACGCACTGAACTCGCTGTTTCTTAATAAAATGTTGTGATACGTTACTGCAAACACTCGTATATGTACTAGTACCATATCTACATTAATCGAAGAATAGTTAATAAATAAAATTAAGTCGCCGTAGCCTAAATCATAAGACCCCGGTAGTACTCGAATCGAGCGATGTGACCGTGCCATTGTTGAAACTCCGCATGCAGATGCTAATTTTATAATGAAATGCATACGTAAAATTAGGTTCAAGTACGACTTTCACTTTACTGGTGGTAAGACGTCTTGTGAGTTCGCACGAGTAGGTACCACCATCTTGCCTATTTCTGCTTTAAAGCAGTAATGCGTTTCGGTTTGAAGGGCAGGGCAGCCGTTGTACTGTAAAAACTTCAGACTGTTAGAACTGTACTCTTAGAGCTCATGCCTCACGGAGAATTATAAGCTAGTTGGGGATTTTGTTATGTTGTAAACGTTAATGCTATTTATCCGTCTTTTGGTTTAATGGCAACTGGTTTAATTCCCAAATTATTCTTTTTTTGTTAACTACGATGTATTCAAGTAATATGAATATAAAACAGTTGGATCTAACTTGATGTTTACTCGAATCGTCATTTGTCACCAAAATATGTCAATGCACATCAAAATTTTATTTTTTCGTTTCCTTTATATCTTAAACCTTTTAATAATGAAAAATTGTATGGTTCAAATTAATTTATTCTTTACAAATTTATTATATAGTAGTTTAACTTTGGTATGTTATTACATATTAATATTAAGCATTATTGTTATTGTTTTGCAAAACTCGATAATTTTTGCTGATGTGTGTTTGCGTGTGTTTCAAAGGTTTCATTCAGAAGGCATTTTGATTTCGTCAAGTCTATTCTTTGAGGAATTTTTGTATTAATTGTAGGAGATACATAACTTTTTCTGGAAGTTCATCTCACGCAGTCATAACTAGGGTAGGCAAAAACGGTTTTTGTCGTTATTATATTTTCTTCGTTTTAGTGACAAAGAGCTGTGAGTGCGTTCGTTCGTTTTTCAACGTTTTAGTAACAATAAGGGTCCGTAAACTCATGATTTTCTTAAATGCTATAGCTTTTACAATTCAGGTACATCATAATAACCTATGAATTTATTTTATGTTTTAATTGAGCTTCCTCTCTCTTACGTTATTCAAGTGTAGTCAGACCAAAATTTCTAAATCGATGCTCCTACGGCTTTTGATGAACAGATTAGCGGAGAAAGGGTATTTTGTTTTTCTCTGCTGGACTGGATCCAATAGGTTTAAGAACCTTTGAAGTAAGAATAATTATGGGGATTTTAAGATGGATAATAATATTAGTATATTCCAAATGTATATCTTTAATGTACCTATATGCTACCATTACATAAATGCATACGTTTTTTTTATGAATGAGGGATTAGTTGTGGCCCAGAGGTTTTTCCAATTTCACCAGAACATACGCAAAAGAGCAAAGGCTTAGGCAGGAGGGGTAGGATGTGCTAATGTGCTGCCCGAGCGCCTCCAAAGGAGACATAACAACTCAAGAGCAGCTGCATCGCGAATGAATCTACTACCGGATCAAAATCGCGATCCGCTGAGAAGTTCCGGCGAGAAACTCAGCGGGCTGATGCATTGGTTAGGTTGCACGGCGAACTTTTTGCCGAGTTCCACGAGTAGGGTTACTGGAGTCCCTAAGCCTGCTCCCAACGTTAGAGCTGAAAGCGTCTAATACAAGGGTTATTGGATCTGATGGATCCGTGAGGAATGCATACTATTCGAATTAATACATTTATATACATATGTACTCGTATATATGTATTAGGTTTGTTGATTTGTTTCGGCTCTAATATCCTATTTTTATAATAGCGCTCAGTAAAGAAACCAATTTGCCCTATAAAGGTCAAATGAACTTGGTTGGGTTTTATTAAAGAAGTTGAGCGGTAGAAGCGTAACTATAATTTTATTATGAAGTTTATAGTATCTTTATATTTATATTAGGGATTAATAAAGTATGAAATTGCCGATTTGTACTGAAAAATTGAAATTCGTTTTTTATTTTATTTAACATATTTATTTAATCAAAATATCTACCATTATTATCTATACATTGCTGCCATCTAATAAGAAGGTCATTTATGCCTTTGAGATAGAACCTTGGTGATCTAGATTCTACAAACTGTGTGAAAGCATTTTGTACTTCCTCCTGGGAAGAAAACTTTTTATCACGTAGATAATTATCCAAATCACGAAAAAATTATAGTCCGTTGGAGCAAGGTCTGGCGAATACGGAGGGTGACGAATGGTTTCTAATTGCAGTTCCTGTAGAGTTAAAACGGTTTCTTGTGCTGTGTGAGGTCTCGCGTTATCATGGAGCAATAATGGTGAAAAACGATTCATGAGTCGGGGCTGTTTTACTGCAAGTTTTGCTATCATTGTTTGGAGTTCCGCACAGTACCTAAATATCTACCGTTATTGCTTGACCAGATCGGAGAGAGCTATAGTGAATAACACCATGCTGAGACCACCAAACAGTTACCATCACCTTTTTATTAGACACTGTTGCGGCGTTTGACCTGGGGTCAGCCATTGCATTTTTCGCTTACGGTTATCGTAAAGAATCGACTTTTCATCACCTGTTCGATGCAATATTCCTTCATTTCTGCATCGATTCAACAGGGCAACACATCTTTTAACACGCGTTTCTTTCTGCAGATCAGTCAAATCATGAGGCACCCATTTTTCATATTTTTTTTATTTTATTGATTTGACGCAAATGAGTCCATTTTGTTGGTAAGGTATCGTGAAGCCATGCCGCTAATTCCTGGGTAGTTTCGCTTCAGGTGATCCTTCGCTGTTTCGCTTCGAGTAGTTCCGATTACTGACTGACTGCGTGCCATCCCTACAACGCATTTATACCTCATCCCTAGAATGATCGAGAATATTCTACACATCTCTAGTAGTAGTTTCCGCTATCTGTCAATAGATGGCGTTACTAGTGCCGGCGTAACATTATGAAATGAAGTTGATTATTATGAAACATGGCATGAAAAAAAATGAAATGAAATGAAATGATATGGGATGAAATATAATCTTAGTAATATGGTAGTCATTTACTGAGACTTCTACAGTGGACTTTTTGGAGGATCCCGAAAAGTTACGTTCAGCGGCTTTGTTTCATTATGCCACATTTGTGCACTTTCACAGATACTAAACAGTTAATAAACTGCCGCTATTACACATTTAAATCTGAAGAAACACTAAATAGACAGAATAAAACAAATCACACAACTTCACTCCTCGCGTTCCCGCCAAAGAGTCCACGCAACTTTGATATTGCGAGTAGTTTCTGCAGCGTTAGTTCCGCATCGAAACTCGTATTAAAAAATCACTCGAATTTTCAAAGTATCCGTCTTACTTGTCTAAGATGAATAAAAAAAAACAACTGAAATTCGATAATCGAATCTTGCACATTTTTTAAAAGAAGAACCTCATAGGTACCATTTGAAAAAGTTTCATTCAAAAATCTCAAGCCATGAAGGTTATATGTCAATTTGAAGTACCTATTACAATGAAACGGCAATTTCATACTTTAATCCATCCCCTATTAATATACATACCAAAATATTACGACAATATTGTTTTAATTAATACGTGAAGCAAAAACTTGGTATCCCTTTTTACGAAAATTGCGCGGACGGAGGAGTATGAAATTTTCCACACTTATAGAGAATATAGAGAAGAAGTGCACAATGCTAATATTTTATTTAAATAATGCATAAAAGATACATTAAATCAATAAAGAAAACATTACACATACTACATACCATGTATTTGACGTACACACGCATGCATACTATTTATTGTCAAACTTTTGTTCTTGACGTCTGTTATCAAATTGAGAATAGATTAAATATTGTTTGTCTTAGATAATATTTTTTATAGTATAGTCTTGGTGAAATTTATGATTATCGAAATATAAAATACACACATAATAGTCTACAAACTTACAATCTCAATTAATTATAGTCGAATTTCGACTACTGCGGGACCTCTAGTTTTTTTAATTTGTCTAACGTCAAATTGTAACGTCTGTTTATGTCAGGTTATTTTTTAATCAAGTCACAATTAGTACTCAAAGAACTACGTGTACAATAAATACCTAATACCCGCAAATTAAGCATGTGTTAGTAACATACATAAAACAAATGACAAATATATTTAATTTGAATGCGAATTTAAATCTCTGTATATCTTTATACATAAGAGAAAACTTAGACCCTGACTTTAGAATGATTGAAAATAAGGCTTTTCAGAGATACATGAAGTCATAACGAAAATTAAATGAATTAATTTTGGAATGCACTCAATTTTTATCTTGACAAAATATGACTAAATATTTTCATTTGAAGATGAAAGATAAAGTAGTTATAGTGGCCCAAAGCATAAGTTGCTTAGTATATTTTCGTCAAGCGATGCGACTATATCGGTGTTGAAATCATACAAGCACATCCCAATATTTCTAAAGAAATACGTACTTCACACGTGACTACAAAACTACTTCACAATGAAGTTATAATATCAGGTACTAATAACTAAGCCCACAAAAGTTACGAAGTTGGTTCGTGCTAGGGTGACGTATTCTAAGCCCACATTGATAGGTCCCACCTCTCGTCTGTTGAGCGACCGGATGCTATCTATTTCTGCTGCGCAACAGTAAAGTATTTTGTTTTGAAGGGTGAAAAATCCATTATGTAATAGAACTAGTATGTACTTATGATCGGATGTCTCAAGGTGGATGGCGGCATTCATGTTGTATTATCTGGAAGTGTTTTGCTACGATTACTTTCAACTGAGAAGTCCCAGCCATGTTTTGGTATTAGTAACATAGGCTCATTTTCAATGTCATGACCTTTTCTGCATTTATAAGTCATCAATCAAACTAGTCAAACGATAAGATATACATTTTACATTTTAGATAAGGATGCACCGAAAAGTTTGCATGTTTCTCAAGGTAGATGTAGACCTTTCATTTTATCTTATCTGATAATGTAATATATTTATGCTATAAATTGGTATGAAAACTTTCCAAGGGTGTAAACTTGTTAAATGATATGATCGTTAGCTAAACTAAACTAACCTAAAAGTAAATGTAAACTATGAACATCAGAGTTAAGTTACCATGTTGCTTTTCTTTCTGTACTGTTATTTAAGTTACGTACAGTTAAAAGTTTTTATCTAGATTTCCTAGGTCTTGTTCATGTCAATTCAGAAAGTCATATAGAACTCGTTACTTCATTGAAAGTCTTAGTGGACGTTTGTCAGTGGACGATACTTGGACAGTAACTACTCGCTAGCATTCTACCCATAACAAAATTTTTAAACTAGGTACTGTTAAATGACTCATAGCTCGAAGTTATGTTGTATTGGAAATTGAAACTAATTAATAAAATATAAACAAATATACAGTGCTGTGTTATGGTCAAAAGGCTATTAGTAGCTATTATATTTTATGTTCCAGAACCAGGTACAGAATGTCTTTTATAATAGTATGCAATAATTTTAATGTTAACTCTAAGGTAAATAAATTCCAGGTAGTTCTATCTGCGTGTTCTTCGTACTTCCGTTCGCTGTTCGTGGATCATCCTTCACGTCACCCTATCGTGATTCTAAAAGACGTCGGCTTAGAAGAGCTACGTACTCTCGTCGACTTCATGTACAAAGGCGAGGTCAACGTCCAGTACTGTCAGCTGCCTGCGCTCCTCAGAACTGCTGAAAGCCTTCAGGTAAATAAATGACTATTTTAAATATCAAAGAAGATAATTTCATCCCACCTAAGCTCTAAGGGGAATTCATTTTGCTACATATCATATTATTGTATCGCAGGTCAAAGGATTAGCTGAAATGACGACTTTAAACGCAGCCGGTATCGAAACAAGAAGTGTTTCGGAGCAAAGAGAGCAGGGCCAAAGCCAAGACGCTAGAGAAGGCCCAGAAAATCACGAACGTCTTGAAGGCAAAGAGGTTCGTGATAGAGATGACAGACGAGAACCAAAAGATTTACGAGATAGAGATAACAAAGATCTCCGAGATAGTCATTTACGAGACTGTCGAGAATCCCGAGAGCAACGAGAACATAGGGAACAAAGGGAATCTCGCGATCTTAGGGAAATAAGGGACTTACGCGAAATGCGCGAGTTAAGGGACTCTCGAGAACACAGAGATCTTAGAGAATCTAGAGATATTCGAGACCCTCGGGATCTTCGAGACGTTAGAGATTCCAGAGAGATAAGAGATGTTCGTGATCAAAGAGATACGACAGAGTCGTCACCATCACGAATATCCCCTTTATTGACTGTACGTCGATTTAGAACAGAAACTTCGACAGAGACACAATCGTTAGTGCACCCGCCGTTGCCTAAAGATGAACCACCTGACGAGCCAATGCCATCTTCATCTCCAGAGGATGATTCAGCATCTTTAAGGTCAAATGGAGCCCAGAATGAAAGTATGGGTACGTATCGTTTAACGATTATTGTTTAAATTAATCTTGAAATTTAAATAGATAATATTAGTTTTTTTTTTTTTTAATAAATATAAATATTTACTAACAATCACGCCACGTTAACTGGTCCCGTGCTAAGTTCGTAAAGAACTTGTGTTACAAGTACCAGATAACGGAAATAAATATAATATTTTTATTATACACATACAGATTATATTTAATATACACCCATAACTCTGGAAAGACATATTTATCATACAAATATCTTCCCTTGGCGGGATTCGAACCCGCGACCCCCTTGTGTAGTGACCATGTCACTTACCACTACACCAGACACTACACAGACCTTACTTCAACTTTATCACTTCCCTTGAACTAAGCAATAATTTTCCAACGTATTACCGGTGAAACAGTAAAACTGAATAGTATGGAACAGCTATTTCTAATTAAATCAAAACGGTTTCTTAGAATTATTCTATAGTAAGCCCGCGGCACGAATACAAGTTCAATATTCGTATGAAAGATTGCTGCTACGTAGTCCCAGTTACATATTTTGCGTAGCGTAAGTCTTTTTGTATAGTCCGCTCTATTTGCGATAATTTTAAAATTTTCATAACGTTCGTTTCATAACATTTCGTTTGCTAAAATGCAGAAATAAACTCTTGATCTTGGTCTATTCACAAATCACAGGCAGGATTAAAATCATCGATCACGTTCAAGCATTCCTGCTTCGGGGCAAAGATTGGCAAGACGGTAGTACCAATACATGCCTGCAGAATTATTACTCTACAACTAATATTTGATACAGTTATTAGTAGTTTAGGAATTACGGAACATAGTAGGAAAATAGGTGAGGATATTACTACCAACGACCGGACGATAAGGAAGTAATGGCTCGAAAATGACAACATTGCTCATCTGTAATATCATACATTTATAAAGTACACAATTACTTATCCTGACTGACTGATAACTCAATACAAATATATCACGTAGATCAGTTTTAAAAAAAGACCTATGAGAGTGAATTAAGGATTGAAACTTTAAATTAAAAGTTCTCTCCCTTGCGAGTTCACGTTCTCTTGGTACCCATTCAATGATTATCGATGCCTGTAATAGAGTATTTTAGAAAACGCGGGGAAAGTCTCAATTGTTTTATAATAATTAATAAATATTCGAAAACACACGGTCACCTTGCCCCAATCTAGCATTCCTTCTTACACTATGGGAATCAGATAAATTATGTATATAGCTATAGGCGTCTAAAATATACATATATTGGACTGGTGGTAGGACCTCTTATGAGTCCGCGCGGGTGGGTACCACCACCCTGCCTATTTCTACCGTGAAGCAGTAATGCGTTTCGGATTGAAGGGGGGGGGGGGGGGGTAGCCGTTGTAACTATACTTGAGACTTTAGAACTTATATCTCAAGGTGGGTGGCGCATTTACGTTATGGATGTCTATGGGCTCCAGTAACTACTTAATACCAGGTGGGCTGTGAGCTCGTCCACCCATCTAAGCAATAAAAAATAAAAAAAACACAAGTTGTTCTTTCCAGATTTTATTTAAACCTAATAGGTGTGGAGGATCACAATTATTTAAGTTTATCAGTTTGTACTATTGCTTAGTTTGTAGGCTTGGTATACTAGGTACACAATTTAACCCAGCGAGTAAATATTATTCTATCCAAAAAGCTAAAATATGATGCAGAGACTGCATGGTTAGAAATGATCCTATGGCGAACATTTCCGAGAGAAAAATCTGTTATCTATTAAATTATTTAACATGAATGTTCCTTCGATGTTTAGTGTTGTGTTCATATTTATTTCAATCGATAGGTAGGTAAGTATACCGCGTGTAGTTTGTTTTTAAATAATTCTTATCCACCTGATGGAAGAGATCGATCTTAGCGATAACATCGCCAAATGCACTTTTTTTGTACGTATTGTTAGGCACATATTGTTACTCCACAATCCTTTGCAATATTTTGGTTAGGCTTAGAACTATAACTACAACGCTAAGGCCTATACTGTACTATCTAGGCCTGTACTATCTATATATGTAGACACATAAAACTCACCTATGTAGTATCTCTACAGCTCGTCACACACACGGGTTTTTTGTGATGTTATTTAAGCGAAATGGAAAAACACTACACAGAACAAAACAGAAAACTTAAATAGGTTTTGAATTTATTTGTTAGATATTGGAAGAGAAACAACAGCGTACAGAAAAATTATTTCGACTTATTAAGACAATTCTTTAATGTAAAAAAAGGAAAAAAAATATATTTTTTTTAGCGTTTTTATTGGATTACAAAGAAGGAACAACAAGGATATAGACTTGAAACTCAAATTGTATTAAGAAATTATTAATTTAAAGTTAGTAAATACCCAGAAAATGTCAATAAGTTTTTTAAGTATGACTTCGCTATTTCATAAATATGTGGTGTGAATAGATGCTATTGAAAACTTCAGTATTATTTGGCGTAATAACAAAGTCCAAAATTTTTAATTAAGAAATTAGTACGTTAATATTCAGCTTTTCATCACAATGCAAAAAAAAACATGTGCGCCCCCGTTAGCAACGACGTCCCTTGCGTTCAATACCTACCATAAATTAAAGACATAATATTTGAGACCTACTCTATTTGACACTTATACAATGTGTTACCTAAGCCCATAGACATTATGCATTATGCCGTCGTATATTCATAAAGTATGTACCTACACAAAGAGCTCTGTTGTCCATTCTCTGGTTCTCTTGTCCCTTAGAGTTTACACAACACCCAGGAGAAGATATAACGCTATGCTGTAGATTAAATATATATAGCTATAGAATATGTTTGGTCTCTAGGGCAAGAAATATCCAAATTTATAAATACCATATTAATCTAATAAGTAGTTCATCTCAGTTTCGTTTTTGTACGGTCGTAAGGTCACATTCATTTATAGTTAAACTAGTAGTTCTAATTATTTTAATTAGATGACAATTTCTATTATTCAATCTTAGTCGAGAGCCGCGTTAAGGAATTTTGTTTAATATATGTATAAAACCCGAAAAAAATATTCAGCTGATTCCAAATTTAAAAAAAACCCAAAACTTAAAACGCATCTTCTCGAACACGACACCGAGACGTAAATCAATGCTTAAATTATATACATATATTGAGTAGACGCTGTATCCCTACTATACATAGTATATAGTTAATGTCTTCTCAGGCTTTTAGCAGCACGGCTTTCACAGAACACAGATAGGTAGCTATTATAATTTACCATTACTACATGCTCATTTAAGCTTAGACTGACGTTGGCTAATACACAAACCGTGCCAGAGCCAAAAAATAAAGAAGAAGAATAAGCTGACTGTCAGTGTCAGTGTCAAGTATGAACTACTGCCATCTGTCACATTTGCATTAATAGTGCAAATTGCCAAAAATAAACAAAAAATGTCACAAGAGTGCTGTTTTAACTTCAATTAAGTTTAGAATTAATATTTTTTCTCGACATTGTGTGTTACTGTGATATTTGAAGTTAATTTGTATTATAATAAAAATATAGCTAGCTTAAGATCCTTAGAGAAGTAGTAAGCAGGAATTAAAGAATATATTGTAATTTGTTATTAATGTCATGGATGAAGACAATAAACAATGTACAGTTTTCACAAGAGCTTTCGGCTGTCATTGTTAACATACTTTATAATAATTATACAATATAATAAAATATGTTCTTGGTCATTTTTAATCGAACGGAGTGACTGGATTGTATCAAATAACATAAGAATACAGTATCGTATTATACAGGATGAAAGAATTTAAGATAGCGAATAAAAAAAGGACAAGTTTTACAAATAAAATGAAAAAGAAAAGTAAAACGATATATATTGAATTGCATCTTAATTTTAGATCTCTAACTCTTTAGAACATAGGTAAGACAAAAATTATGTGCTTAATTTAAGATAACAAAGCTAATTTAAACTTTACTTTGTGTAAAACTTTTTCTTCAAGTAATACTGTATAAAATTAAAACAATTTTACAACCTCTGCTATATTTACTCTAAGAAACTACAGAAAAAACACAAAAATTTCATAAATACAAATTCAGGTCTTTAATGGAATTAATGCATTGTTTTCAGGTATTAATATGACAATAAATAGTCACAATACTGGTGTGCTGAGTACTCGCTATTCTCCAGTTGAGCGAATGAGTGTACTCAATGCTATACCCCACCCTGGACTGCCACATCCCTCTCTTCCATCACTTTCAAGCCCTAGAAGTGAGCCTATTCCGGGACCTTCTGGACTACCTCCAGTTCAACAAGCTCCTTTGGTAAGTCTATTTTTATTGATCTAAATTTGTTGGTCATAGAAATTAATTCTGTAAGTCAGTTACAAACACAAAAAAAAATACTTCATTGATTGTGTTCTTTTATGCATTACCTTAGAAAGGTTAATGTATAAGAAATTTTAAAATCATTGAATCACCAGTTTGTATCTGCTATAGTTAAGGATGAATTGTAATAAATCTTCATAGCTATTATTGGCAGTAAACAAAAATAAACTCTTAAGGTCTTTCAGCGATTCAAGCTTTTTTTTTTTCTTTTTTTTTTATTGCTTAGATGGGTGGACGAGCTCACAGCCCACCTCGTGTTAAGTGGTTACTGGAGCCCATAGACGTCCACAACGTAAATGTGCCACCCACCTTGAGATACAAGTTCTAAGGTCTCAAGTATAGTTACAACGGCTGCCCCACCCTTCAAACCGAAACGCATTACTGTTTATTAATTGAACTCTTATGGTTGTGGATTATTGTTTTATTGCTTAGATTGGTCAGTAAGCTGCTGAGCTGGTCCACCAGCTCATACACTTTATGATTTTTATGTCACCTACTACTCAGCGTGAGACATTAGGTAAGAGTCTCAATTAATTGTAAAATGGTTGTTCCACGATTCAAATCGGAGTGCAGGACTGCTTCATGGTAGAAATAGACAAGTTTTTGGTCTTTTCCTGTGTGGCCTAGCTACATTATATATAGCTTATCACCAATATAAACTATATATAAATAAATACGCCATACAAATTCACAACAACTTTTATTAAATGATTATATCAAATTCTTGCAGTCCTTGAAGAAAGAATTGGTTGATTGGGATAGAAATAATGAAGACAGAGGTGGTGAAACTTCAGCAGACTACAGGCTTCAACATGAACCGGTATGTAGTAATTTATTTCTAAATAATTTCTTTATTATATGTATATATCAAAAATTTTAGTAATTGGAAATGTTCTTGCAATAACTTACATATTTTTGTAATCTTAAAGAAACTTGTTCTAATCGAATAAGAAATTTTATTAAAAAAAAAAACAATTAACATACCTTAAGTAGCATCTTTTGTTAAGGTTTTAGGTCAGGTGCATACTTTATGAATTCATGTCTGTCCAGCATGCTAACAGATAGACATCCCTCTTGCTCTAAAGTTTGCTACCAATAGACAGGCATGTGGTGAAAAATACATTTGGGATCATAAATTGATTTTAAATGTGCATGCATGTATCAAAATTATTCATAAACACGTAACTAAATATTTTTAATCTTCCATACTTAATTTGGTTAAAAATTATTCAAATATGTGGCCTATGTTTCCAAATTAATTGCAAGTATCTTTTGGGATACATATTTCAGACAGAATAAGCAGTACTAAATTAAAATCGAAACTATGTTGAAAATCCTCATTTTCATTATCTGTGACAAGATCTCATAAGATTTTAAAACATTATGTAATTTAGCTTTGTCTACGTCAGATATCCGCTGTAGTTGTAGAGTTGAATTGAATTTTCCTGTCATATTGAAGTTGATTTTTACATGCATGCTTGTTTATACGCTACGCTGTTTAATAGATCGAGTATCTATGCCTTGCTGTCAAGAAGTTGACCTTCATTTTGTTGGCCATCATTTTTAAACCATTCATTTTGTTTGAGGTATATTTTGGGCAGTATTTTTTTTATTTTAAATTTGGCCATTCACTCGTACATGCATACCGTTACAGTACGAAACACGAGTTAGTGTGCGCGCGCGCGTTGCTAAACAACAAGGCATTACGCGTAGCCGGCTCCCGGGTCACTCCTGCACATTTCTTGGGCAAAATGAGCGTCAACTTCTTATTTAGATAGTGAAGATTGAAAAATTACCAAGACTGCATCTAAAATTAGAAACGTAGTGGTAGAGACAATGCACAGAGTTTGATCGTGCCAAAAATGGAACTGAAGAAAAAGAAGTTGATGTTCTTTTTGTGGTTGCAGGAGTACGATGGGTCCGGTAGGGGGCGTGTTGATGAAGGGGACCGGGGTTACGTTTGTATTCACTGCGGTGCGGCCTTCCCTCATCAGAGCAAACTTACCAGGCACATATTGACGACTCACACACTTGACACTCTCAAGTATCGAGATGCAATGCTGGGAAGACCCTTAGGCATACCTATGATAGGACAATATAGCGAACCCACTTATATGAACATACACCCGGAAGAAGCTCCGATAGATTTGGACATCGGCCCAGTAGAGCCTGGAAATGTGGTGCTGTGCAAATTTTGCGGGAAAAGCTTTCCAGACGTGTCGTCTTTGATAGCACATTTACCAGTACACACTGGCGATCGGCCATTTAAGTGTGAATTTTGCGGCAAAGCCTTTAAACTTAGGCACCATATGAAGGATCACTGTAGAGTCCATACAGGTAAGCTTAACTAACTAAAATATTATTTTTACATTAATATTTATAACTAATAAATAACCTCACACTTATACGCGACTAAGCCAATTTGGCTCCATTCCCAAATACACACTTGTATGAGTTAATACATTTAACAAGAATATTTTCAGATTAATATTTATATTTCAGGAGAACGACCATTTCGTTGTGGATTATGTGGAAAAACATTTTCACGTTCAACCATACTGAAGGCACATGAAAAGACACATTATCCTAAATACGCACGTAAATTTTTATCACCCAGCCCCGTAGATACGGAAGAGGAGAGTCCACATCAATGAGCACGCGACCGAAATAGTGCACAATTAGCCTTCGATCACATTTTAGTCAATAAAACGTTCATCAATTGAGAATGGTGGGCGAAGTTTTATAGTCGAGTGAACAAACAGAGGACAATGTGTTTTAATTAGTTAAGAATAAAAATGAACGCCGCAACTGTGATCTGAATGATATGAATAATATTTGATATTTCACTAGTAGATAAATAGCGCAAGTTGTTAATTTTTAGGTATATTTTTTAAATCACTGTTTCAGTTCGATTATTTTATCGATAATATGTTTTCAATTATATAGGTGCTGTCTTTGTTTATGCTTGTGAGGAATCATTTATGGTGAGGTCATTAGACGGCATAGCCAAAGCTAGTTAGAGAAGTGAAACTTCGTTAATTTTTATATTGGGAAAGGAATAAATCGCCCATTTTTGTCATGTTTTTTCAGTTGTTTTGTTTACTTTTTAAAATAATTTGCTATTTCAAATTAAAAATAAAATAAAAAAAATATTAATACGAATGGACCCGAAAATATCAAATTAATTTGAAATTATGACCATTAGAGTAACGAGACTTTTTTTAGATTTCGTTCTTTGTAAAATAAGGAAGGATTGTTTTAAACGTGATTCGACAACTTTATTAAAAAAAAAGGCATACATACATATATACGTGCACTTCGTAGTATGCAATTATAAAAATATAGGGATTTGAGGTTTTTTATTTATAATTTTATGTCTAATGAAAGTACTGACGCACGCTCCCCTGACGTAACTCGAAAGCAATATTACGACATATAATAAAATATGTAAATAAAATATAGTTTGATAATATTGAATTTTTAGAAAATTAATTAGAGTAAAATAAATGCTTCAGTAGCTCTATATTTGGTAAATATGGGGAGATTTCTGGATGTGATCATGGGAATCAAAGCTTTAAACCCTTCATTTCTGTCCGTTTGTTACGTCTCGGCCCTCCTATACGAACATAAAAACTATAACACATAAATAAAAAATAATTATTGTGACACAATTAATCTATCGGGAGAGGCGTAGCATTATAAAGCATACATATATATATATATATTGAATTTTTCCATATACTATTTTCATACTACAAATCCACATTTTATTGTTAATAGAGAATAATAAAAACAGTGCCTATTTTAATTTCTAATAATATTTTATGTGGGATTTTTTATTCATTTTAACTATAAGACACTGGATGTTTAAAATAATAATAATACATAAATACAGAAACTATTTAAATTTCAGATTTTATCATAATTTCAACAAAGGAATAGAATGTGCATTGTTTTTAAAATTCTCACAATAATACTGTGTTCAGTAAATTCAACAGAGTCGTATACAGGGATATTTTATGGATGTTAAAGTTATTATTTTACAGTAAATTCTTTCAATTTAAACTGCCTTCTATGAACATGATTGTTGTTAATTTAATGTTCACAAAATGTTATCGATCATATTGTCTATATAGCTACGCGAAAAACTAAAGCTTTGATTTGGTGTTGATTGAATTGTCAGTTTACGTTAGTCTCTAAGATTGAATAATAATAAAAATTTGATGTCTTCTCGGTACTCACAAGCTGATTCATTCTTATCTCATTAAAAATAATAAAATTCGTTTCGTATATTTTGATCTTTAACATATCATATTATGAAATATCATTGAAATTTAGAAGTGCTCTTACCTACGTCTTAAATTTTTTCTTACTTAATCTGTTCAATTCAAATGTAGGCGTTTTAATAAAAATTTAATAATATTTAGGAATTAAGTGATAGATCATTGAGATCTTACCAAAAGAAAGTATTATAAATTTAGGAAAAGATCTGTGATATTTAAAAAGTAATGACGCAACATCTGGGAGTGTAAAGTATCGATCTCAGATAGATTTTACTATTAGGCATTTTAAACTATTTTCGAAATCAAAAATATATGTTGGTTTTAGAAACAGACGCCGTAAACGGTTAGGTTGTCACAGCGTTACTCTTTAGATCTCACTATTTTAAGTTTAGTGATTAGGGTCTTTTGTGTATGAAGTAAAATTGTTTGGCTGTTTTTTTTTTTCTTTTTCTTTTTCTTTGTATCAAACGCCTTACATTCCAAAATTATTCCAATTTCATTTTGAATATGTAGGTTATCAACTCCACCGATAGATACTTTTTTTAGTGATAATTATTTATGGATTTCCTATTTTTTTAAATAATTCTGTCGGCCGTGAGTACCATTAGGCGTCAAAATATATCGTTGAATTTGTTTATTGATTTCCGCTGGAATGTTGTGAGGGAATTAAGGGACAGAAATAATAAAATAAAAACTCTGTTTTATAGTTAATTATTTATGTAACGCGATTATTCCATCATCGTTTAAAAGTATTGAATACATTAAAACTGGGCGTAGTGTAAACCTCAAACATTAGTTTTTATTTGTGCATAAAATTGTCATTTTCAATATCACCGTAAGTGTGATAATTTATCAATTTACCTTATTATAACTTTTATCCTATAATTGATTAATCGGTTCATGTGGATTTCAAACAGCAGCAGCAATGTATCGTCTTATTAAAATATTTAAATGCAACTGACAACATTCCACGAATTTGGTATTGAAATTCACCGTAATATTGATGAATTGGAGATTACATTTCCATGTCCTAGGAACAGCGTGAAGTAACTTTGAATACCTACCAGAGCTATTGTTTTATTATAAGAAAGAAATAATGTTTGTATGCTTATAGTATATATATATAAAGGAAAAAGTAAACACAAAGAAATTTAAATACGTCGGTCTATAGTGTAAAATCACGCAAAATGAAACTGCAAGTTAGGTGATAGATTCGTAGAAGCGTTAATTCCCGGAGCTAGTATTTGAATTTGAGGAAAAACGGAAAAAAAAGTAAAAAAAAAAATGTTTCTATTTGAAAAGCTGCACTGTCTTTAAGTTTTCTTTACCGAACATTACCAAACGTTAAGCAATACAGATACTTTATTAATGTTCCTCTTCTTGTTTTAAGAAAGATAAAGTATTTACAATAACCATTAGCAATAAATAAATTTTATAGTGAAGCGAATTAACATTTTTATAAAGTTTAATTAAAAGTAGTTTTTTATAATAGTACAGAATGTTGATTGTAATGCTATTTTATTTTCCGATTTTCTCAGAGATACTATTTATTGATGATAATGATATTGATATAGGATAATATACATATAGTTCTTAGGTAGAGCGCATTATTAGTGCCGGTGTACAACATATCCCTAAGTGCAGTTATTCAAATTTTAACATCAACAGGCTGTTCACGTCCCTGCAGATTACACAAGCAGTTAGAATAAAATATATGTAGACACATAGATTAATAATTATTAATTATCTAAGTTTCGATTTTGAGTAAGTATTTTTTTTAGAAATACATACTAAACATCGCAACATGGAACACTAGCACGAAATATTTCATGTTTGAAATAGTTTAAATACGTAGATTCATTTTTATATATATAAAATTGTGACCACGGTTTTATATTTAGAGTGCCTCTTGCCTATATAAGACTTACGTAAAGGCTGCAATTCACGGAATATAGAGTACATAGTGGATAGATAGGTGGTCCCGTATTTTATGGTTAAAATTGTAAGTTTGGTTATGGTATGTGATTGGCGCAATTTATTCTATTCAAATTTAATTATCAAGAATATATTATATCATCCATACGTCGTATTTGAAGAATTTCTAAATGAGATTAATTTTTAACTGTCAATTATGAACCTAATTTTTTTTTCCGAATATCGACTTCCCTTTCGTCGTTTATCATTAAAGTTGTTTTAAGTGGCATAACTAAATATAGAACTTAAATTGCAATTTTTTCTAAGTTCCTGTAGGTATATTAATTACTTTAAAATGGTACAATTTGTTTTATATTAATAAGTTATTTAGGTTAAACTTTTCGTGACGGATTTTGTACTGGTATATAGTACGCAATGGGCGAGTAGATCTCAAACATTGTGTTTCTGTGGCTTCGTAAATAAAAATACAAGCTCAGTATACATTGTGCTCGTACAAAATACTTTTAGCACAAGTTCAAATAATGTAGGTCCACTTTTATTTATGGAGCTCTTCGTAACTTGAAAATGATTATTAATTCCCATAAGCTGTTTTATTTAACATTCATTGTTGATATTTTAGTGTAATGTAATATGTTTGCCTTAAAGTAATTAGTAGATCATCAAATAACAGTGAGTGTATTTTTGTTAAATGTCATGAGAGAAATGAGATTTAGACGGTGTATAGTCAATTGTACAACATTCATGAAACCCTCTTGCTGTTGATCATTGTAACTTTTGAAACAAATATAAGCATATCATAGCTGTAATAATACAATTTTGACAAATAAAAGCTCTACAATCATTACAATATCGTTATTTTACTATATTTTATATTTAGCTTTCATTTCCTTGATTACAAAGGTATGTATGTTATAGTTTCGTTCTAAATTTTACTTTCATTTAAAATTCATTCAAGTGTTGATACACACAATAATAAAATATTATTTTTTGTTTAAAGGTTTGCCTGGATATGTCGTGTCCGCCTGGTATCCCGAGCCCGTTATCGGCACGCAGTTCTACAGTTCTGCCGCTATGGTCGCCGCTGTTTGCGCTCCAAGCATGTCGCCTGCGTCGGTACTTGTCTGACGACTGCATGGGCTACCCCACAACTAGACACTTGATACCATCAGAGCGCCGTAGGTGTGGTGTTTGTCTCGCATCATTCCCCTCAGCGTGGTTGCTTGAGAGGCACGCGGCTCTACAGCATGCTTCCCAATCTGCCTGCGACGACAAACCATTCGTGTGCGAACAGTGCGGTCAAAGCTATAGATATCGATCGGCTTACGTCAAGCATCGAGAACAAAACCATCGAGCCAGACTGCCTGCTGATAAACTTTTTACTTGCGACGTTTGCGGCATGCAATTCAGATATTTAAAATCGTTCAAAAAACATCGTTTGAACCACACGTTAGAGAGACTTCACACCAAAAACACCGATGTCCCTGAAGGAGACGTTTCCAGTACAAATGAAGCTTTGATTGGTAAATGTGGCGAGATGGACCTTTCTATGAAAAAGAAAAATAGAGTCGATGAGATCCGGTCTCCTTCCATTGACGTCTTACGAGAAGCTGAACAAGATAGTACCGTCGACTCGAACGATCCTGCCGATTCAATTGTAACAGTAGACGATTCGACTGAATGTCGGAACTCCAGTGCTGAGAGCGAAAGTAGGCGCGATGAGGACACAACTTCGGAGAGCAGAAGACGCATACCCGTTTCCTTTGCCAGCGTCAGTTCGATGGCTGATAGTTCAGAAAATGAGTCACGTACTGACAGCAAAAACGAGAGTTCAAGCTCTCGTTCTGCCATCCTCGGATTTATGCAGAACGATGAAAGACAGAGAGATAGGGAGAGAAAATTCGCTTGTCCGTTCTGTGGTAAGTGCGTGCGCTCTAAGGAGAATTTAAAGTTACATGTAAGGAAACACACTGGAGAGCGTCCGTTCGTTTGTCTATTTTGTGGCAGAGCTTTTGGGGGTAAGAGCGATCTAACCCGTCATCTCAGAATCCATACAGGCGAGCGTCCGTACCATTGTGAGGCATGTGGTAAGTGTTTCGCTCGCGCCGATTATCTGTCAAAGCATCTAACTACACACGTACATAACACTCGATGAGCAGACACATCGCCGTCCTGTTTCAATTCTTCACATACCTCTATATTAAACCAACGGTAATAATTGGGAATATTTTTTTACAGTTTTTAAATTTTACAAGTCATGATAATCAATATATTGACTGTTTTAATTAAAAATTTACAAAATATTCGTTTTTGAAGTTGTTTTACGCATATTGTTATTTAAATGAATTATCAATAACGTGATCCACATACAAAGCCTAATTGTCGATAATGTCAACATTTATATTTTTATTATTTAAGTACTCTGTGTAATTACAATAAGAGACTTCATGGCAAATTAATATAGTTCGAATTCCACCCACGAAATGCAAGCTAACGTATCCACATAAAGTTGAGGGCATACGTACGTACATGTTAGCTACGTAGCATAAATAAATATAATAAAAGAGTTTTAAGTTATTTTTTAAAAGACACCATTAGGAGCAATATATTAATATTTTCTACGTTTTGAATATAGGATACCAGTCTCTCATCATGTGTTACATTTTTATACTACCAAAAATATCTCGTTTCGTTTAAAGATGAGGGACCAAAAAACCGAAAGCAATAGTGGAGTGGTAATTATATTTTGTTAAAAACGCTACGTTTTAAGGGGATGCTGGTTTTCATTATATTTTCATTTTGCCATATTTTTATATGTGTACGTATTTAAGATTAATAAAACTCATTCCAATGAAAATTGATAGTGGTGACGATATATAATAGACGAATGAGATAAACTGTGATTTGTACGATAAGATCAGTCAAACGAGTTTTAGAACATCGAAAAAAGTTTTTAGTAATTTTAAAATAATTTTACCTAAACTAAGATATATACATATTTATATATATATACGTATAAATTATTGATTATAGTTTTAAGTAATCTCTCTGTGCCAAAATAATTACCTCGTATAGTAAACATTGATGTAGATAAATTGACTATCTATACAATACATTATAACGGTTTGTTTTCATCTTGTTTTTGATTAAGAAGTGAAATACATTGGCAGATTTTTGTAGAATATCGGTGTAACGTAATATTCTTTAACATACTTTTCACTATCGTTAAAACCTTAAATAATAACATTAATCTATTTTCCATACAACGAAATCATAAAACAAGAAATGTCCTGCGAAAACGAGGCAAATTCTATAAATGACGTTACCAAAACATTGTTATTTCGGTCTTAAAAAATACAAGCTCGCAATTCAATGTATATGTATTATTAAAATATTAAAAGGTTTTGTTATCATACTAATACTAACTGCAGATCTTGTGATATTATTTCTATAAGAGATATTATACTACACATAGAAAAATAGCTCATATATTTTTTTAAAATATCCAATTTTATACAAGTCACATTTTTATTTTTAAATCGTCTTACAGTCAATTAAATAGGTTAAGTAAATAAAAATAAGATTTTTGAAATTAAATGGATTGCGAGCTGTATTTCTCGTAAGTGTATAATAATTTTATGTGTTCACAGAACATTACCATTGTCTATTTAAAGTAAGTAGCCAATACAACGAAACAACGCCAAACAGGTACAGTAAAGATAAATCGAAAACTTTGTTAGATTATTAGTTCTGTGTATTTAGTTATTACGTACGTTTGTAAAGGGCGGAAATGTTTTTTTACACATTTTATTTATATTCATTCTTTGTTAAAATTAAGGATAATTTTGTAATATTTTACATAAAAACTGCCAGAGGGATAATTATAAGCTAGAGAAGTAATTGAAAATTACTACTACTGTAAACAAAAATAGTACTCTCTGACTATTTGCAAATGGAAATATTCAAGTTTATGTACGTTGGAGTGAAAACTGGTAATTAGTAACAATTGTTCAATAAAACTGAACATGCTGCAGTTATTGTTTCCAAGTTAATCAACTATTACACAAAATTTATTCAAAACTTTGAAGCAGTTTTCTTATTAATCAATACACCAGATATTTTGATTCTGTTTATTCATTATCTGGCGTATGATGATCTTGTTTGTAAAGCTCATGAAATCAGCAGCTGATGATTCGCTGGAACACTTATTACAGATTAAGGGTAAATTAGTAATGAAAACCGTGTTTAGATAAATGGATTTTATAAATAAATAACTATTAGGACATTACAATGAGAAGTTCATTGTGTGTACATTGTAGATATTTTGCCATTACGTCAAATTAAAAAAAAATATAGAAATATTCAAAATTGGTGTTGATTGTTTTATAATTTTAATACATTATTGGCTGTAGTTACTTGATGTTGTGGTGTAATTTAGTGTCTTATAGTAAATAAGGTTGTAAATCACTCAAAGTTTATTACCGCGTGAACATTGAACCTAAGAAAATGTCGAAATGAAATTTTTAGAGGAAGCTGTAAACTTTGAGTGGTTTTATTTATATTGAATTCTCGTAGTGTTTTAATATTGGTGTGGTAATGTTTATATCTGTTCATGTCGCATACATTTGAACTCTTATAGGAAAATTAATTTTTAAATTAAAAACTTATTGAGTTTATTGACCACGACGCGACGACTGTGTGAGTACGCATTAGCCGAAACCGATCGATTGTGATAAATTATTAGTTACGTTGAATTTCTGAGACTAAAAAATAGAAATTCGTAAATGGTTACCATTTCGCCTTCTACAGTTTTGTTATTGAGACGTGGACACTATTTACATTCTATATTGTTTTATTCAGATTTTTTGTTTACTGTCGACTGTTAATTAACGGGCATTATTAATTGTACACTTAATTTACGTATTTTATGCTTTGGAGGACTTCTAGGAAAACATAAATCATTCGGACAAGATTATATCGATTTGAAATAATAAGTTATTATAAAAAAACGCAAACAAATAATATTTATTCAAAACTTTTATATGAGTATTGTATCCGTCCAGATCGTTAATTTTGTTTTTGATTGGCAAAGATTGTATTCTGACTCTCATGCGACATTATTTTAGACTCTTACTTATTAATATGATATTAAGTACAATTCATAGCAGTCATTTTTTTTAGCCACTATTTTAATTAATATCTACGATAGTCAAAGTCACTTGGTATTAAAATGGAAAAATATTTAAAGACGGATAATTTAATGGTGTGGTGGTTTTTAAATGTTCGAATAATGTATCGGAATGAAGAGGTCTGTAATATTTTAAATATGCTATCCAAAGAACGTAGATAGTAAGTGAACTGAACACTAGGCGTGTGAAAGTTTATGGATAGAAACGTTTTGCTTTGGTTAGATATTGAATGTGATATTATTCTAAGTAAACCACCTCGATCAACCTCAATTCTGAAGTCTCTCCAAAACAGATTTAACGAAGAATGAATCCAGACTGATTTTCGGGTAGAAATAAAGTAGGCCAGAAATATTACAGTCAAATAATGTTAAAGTATAAGTATTGATTTTATAATGTTTAAAGAAAGCCAAAACGCAGTCGCAATAGTTAACTACATAAAACAATAAGAGAATTATTTATTTAATTTTAAATGTATATTATACAAAACTTAAATGTTATCTATGTGAATTTTAAATTATTTTTCAGATGTATTCATTTTTATACATCTCCATATACAACAATGAATAGAGGTAAGTGTAGACGTAGATGGGTCTATTAACCGCGTGGTGCTACAATGTGTAATGATATGTGATAGAAACTGTTCTTCAGAGACATT